ATGAAGTGTGTTTTTCGAACTTTTCCTTCCACGTCCAAATGGACGCTGCAAATGTTTGCATGTAGAGCTTTCGTGGTTTTATTTGATGCACGTCGTTAGTATTGGGATATACAGGTATTGCGTTTGCACAGGATGTAATACGTTGTACAAAGTGGATGATTCTACTGATTTTGTTTCATAATTCTTTCATCATAAGTTCATTTAATTATTTGTGTGCAATGTGAATATTAAAATTTGCTATAGTTGTCATTACTTAAGTAGGTGTACAGTATCTATGGCTATGTGTTTTATTTTATAATTGTTTCATCATAAGTTCACTTAATTATTTATGTGCCATGTGAATATTAAAATTTGCTATAGTTGTCATTACTTAAGTAGGTGTACAGTATCTATGGCTATGTGTTTTATTTTATAATTGTTTCATCATAAGTTCACTTAATTATTTATGTGCCATGTGAATATTAAAATTTGCTATAGTTGTCATTACTTAAGTAGGTGTACAGTATCTATGGCGTATCTAGGTGTACAGTATCTGTTTTATTTTATAATTGTTTCATCATAAGTTCACTTAATTATTTATGTGCCATGTGAATATTAAAATTTGCTATAGTTGTCATTACTTAAGTAGGTGTACAGTATCTATGGCGTATCTAGGTGTACAGTATCTGTTTTATTTTATAATTGTTTCATCATAAGTTCACTTAATTATTTATGTGCCATGTGAATATTAAAATTTGCTATAGTTGTCATTACTTAAGTAGGTGTACAGTATCTATGGCGTATCTAGGTGTACAGTATCTGTTTTATTTTATAATTGTTTCATCATAAGTTCACTTAATTATTTATGTGCCATGTGAATATTAAAATTTGCTATAGTTGTCATTACTTAAGTAGGTGTTTCTATGGCTGTGAGTGTAAATAATTGTTGAAGTAATTTGATAAAAGCGCTTCCAATGATTGCTTGACGCTTTTGTTGAATATTATAGTCTGTTGGAACAATGTTTATTTCTTTAGTAAGTAGACTTATTTAAGGATTAACAAATCCTTTGCTGTTAAAAATGGCTAAAACATTTACTGTTTGTTACTTATATACCACTTTTCAGAAAGTTGTTTCTATGAACTACAAATTTGTAACGCAGAGGAAATTGAAATTCTGTTTGGGTTGTTAGTGTTAGCTAACCAATCTAATCTAATTACAAAAGGCTAGGATACTAGGTGCTCGTAAAAGGTGAAAATTGAACGAATTAAACCTAACTGTTAAAGAGCTTGTATTTATTCAAGGGTATCCATAAAACCGCCAGTAAGGCAATTAAGAGCTATTGTAACATTTACCGAGCCCTGTTGCAAGAAATTAACGTTAAATTCAGTATAATACCTTTGGCTGATGCTACCAACTACCAAAACCCTATATCTACGACCATAAAAATTTTTTCAAAATTTCCCATAAAAGTACCAGTAGTTACAAAAAGTATTACACACGCCTTTCATTTCACGTATTTCATTTTCACATTATCAAGTTTTTGTAGCCATCTGAAAGTAACCTTAAATTATTTGAAATTTCATGTATCTGTTCAATTAATTACTAATTGATTAATAGAAATCAACCCTACTAATTAATCAGTACGTCATAAAATGTTACAACAAATACTGATATAAATACTATAATACATGCTAATTATAATAAATGTATACCTTAAATTACGTGAAATTTCAGGTATCTGTCTAATTGATTACTAATTGATTAATCAATCCTATTAATTAATCAGCATTTATTATAAAATGTTATAACAAATACTGATATAAATACTATAATACATGCTAATTATAATAAATATTTACCTTACATTACTTGAAATTTCAGGTATCTGACTAATTGATTACTAATTGATTAATCAACCCTACTAATTAATCAGTATTTATTATAAAATGTTATAATACTAATAAATACTGATATAAATACTATAATACACACTAATATAATAAACAGATACTAATAAAAATGCCAGTATAATATTAACATTAATACTAAACATATTATGATATGCAAATACTTTTTCCAATCACTATAAACAATATAGGTATGCTCGTTCGAAGATGTCTATCTATCGGTGTCTTAAGAATTGTCCAATGAAAACATCGATAAGGACGTGGTTAATCAGGCTGCAGTTAGTATAATCTACGTTTGCAGAGGCGCAATTGAATTCTCGACGGAGGGCATTTTTCAAACCAGTAGAACGACCAGAGTGGAAGGTAAAATTTTGCTTGGAAATGCGCGGCATCGCGATTCCTTGTCTGCAGTGGAGGGGGATTCTAACCCGCCCATCTGGCTTTCGGATTCATCTCAATAACATTAGCCCAGTCGTTTAAGCTTCCGCTGCAACCGACTTGTGTTTTATTCGAAGCTGCCCGCGTGCAATTTGTTTGCCCCGTTAAATTATCGGCTGGGAGCTCGATTTCTCCTTTTCCGTCTGGATATCGCGTTTCAGGGCGTTGCACGTTTATTATGGAGTTTCAGGGAATTTTTCCCGTGAACCGAGTGAAGTGTTTGTTCTTTCAATACTTCAGGAATCCTCTTTCTTCTTCTTTCTTTCATACAGCCACGTCTTTTGTTATGAAAATTTTCTTCTTAAATTTAGAAATTGTTTGTCTCAGTTGGTCATTCTCAGGCATGTTCCTGCCAGTTGTATCTTAATTCTGAATTTGATTATTGCAATATTAGAAGACAACATTAGAAATATATAGAAATTACTTTTTAGCAACTTCATGTTGCCAGAAAACTTACAGTTAGTAATCCCTTCCTTTCTCTTCCTTTCTTTTTAATACTGCAGACTTCTACGCAAAGTAACAGTTACATTTTAAAGTAGCTGGCATCGCTTTATAAACTGTATTTCATTCAAACTTTCTATCCTGTACACCTTGCACTCTCAATCACATAATTCTACCATCTTAAGAACAATAAACAAGATGAAATTGCTCCAAGTCCAGAAGCCTCTACTGCCAATCGCAGCTGCAAAAAGCAATTTCATCTATACACGACAAAGCATAGAAAATTCTTCACATATCTCACTGCCAAAATTCATCGGAGAATGAATGAATATTTGAAAACACGACTTCACCTATAAATCGAGATATAGCGTACTCCGAGCGTATGCTACTCCTACAATTCATCTACCTAAACTGCCAAATAAATAATTGAACAGATCCTTCTTTGAAATTTCCAGGCCACTCCCTTTTGATCGTCGATCAACAGGAAGATTCCATAGTGGATCGAAATGCCGTGGATGACATAATCCATCCATGCAACGGACCCATCGATCGCGAAGAACACAGGCGACGGGAAGCGAGCCGATTCTTTTATGGCGTACTCGATCCGAGATTCAAAAGGGCAGCGAGCCACGAATGCGAATCGCGGTGTTGGTCGGTGTATGGAAAAGGAAATCGACCGGCGATCGCGATTTATTATTCAACACACGGAGCCCGGACGTTCCTTCCTTCTTGAAGCATTCCACGATATACGATACTCGATGCCAGTCGAAGACAGCACCTCTTGCAGGCATCGTGTGTCTGAGCGAAGATCGACGGAAATAGCGTGGACGATGTCCTCTCTTCCTGCATCTACGTAATCGTTGATCAAATTCGAGGATCTCTTCGTGGCAGAAAATGGAATTCGCTGGCGAAGCAGAGAAAAAGTTCCGAGAAAAATTTCCATGGGGTTGATGCGGATCACCTTCGAAGGAAGAACATTGTGAGAATGTTTGACGACAGGTAAATTTTAGTTTGTAATACTTTTGCAAAATATCTAACGCGGTAGAATTATTTAAAAGAATTCACCTTTAAGTTCTTTCATCCCTTAAATAATTCTAGCACTCTATAGGTATTAAATTTCTTTTAACACAATTATAGAATTCGGATAATCAGTGAACAATTGTAAAATTCGATATTTCTATTTTTCTAGAATTTTAAGGATAATTTGCTTCTCAATTTTCTCATCCCTTAAGGGACTAACGTTTTATAAGCAACTTTGTCGAATTTGATTTCTTCTGACATATATACAAATATCTTCAACAAAATTGCACAACTAATTTTTGTCCATAAGCGATTAGCCTATAGTTGCCTGAATCACTGACGCATATCGCAGGCAAAATAAATGTTATTTTTCTCACACAGTACGCACGCTATCGATCTTTGTCCTCGGCTTCTCATACTACGAAACATCCTCCGCTATTTGTCGGCCACGTCGAAATTGCGCTGTATGCTGATGAGTTGGCGTGAATTAATCAATAAATATGTAGTCGCTGTGTTAACCACGGATACGGGTCGGTCGTAAACGACGTCTGGGAACGGGAGACCCTGGTCGGGATACGTGCTACGTGCGTTCGTTCTACATATTTTTGTTGGTCATAAACCGATCGTAATTTCAACGAAGCCGCGTTTAATGTATGATGCATCCACTACCCCAGCGCTAACGTTTCTTCGCTGCCATCGCTGAAACATGGCGGTCGAAAATTACTTTGTTGCTTTTTCGATTCTGTTTCCAATATGGATACAGTGAATGTAAGGTTTCTATCAAATAGATTGTGTTTCAGTAATTAATACCGTGCTTTCTCAGGTCTACTTCAAATTATTTTCAAGTCCAAAGAATTTTTCTATTTAATCCTTCCAATTGTGTGTCAAGTGTGTCTTTGGATTTCTTCATCTTCTTTGTACCAAACTTTACCAAAACTAGATTCCAGATTTTATTTACTTTTACGTGTATCTTGGAATATATGTACTCATTTTTCATGAAGTTTGTCGGATAAAGTACATGATCATTATTACTTTTATTGGTACAAGTTACTTATAGACACAACAGAAGATTTAATTCTTCACTTTCTATATTGTTTTGATATTCCACTAAACACTGGCTGTTTATTCTCTTATCTAAAAAATCTAATATATAATAGAATTCAAAGTAAACTTTATTACAAATACATTTTATCTTAGTGGAATTAGTTATTCAGTTTGAAACGTTTTAAAATTAGCTATAAACTTAAAGTTACTTACAAACACAACAGAAGTCTTAATCCTTCAATTTCTGTATTGTTTTGATATTCCACTAAACACTGGCTGTCTATTCTCTTATCTAAGAAATCTAATATATAATAGAATTCAAAGTAAACTTTGTTACAAATTCATTTTATCTTGGTGGAATTATTTATTCAGTTTGAAACGTTTTAAAATTAGCTATAAACGTGAAGTTACTTACAAACACAACAGAAGACTCAATTCTTCAATTTCTGTATTGTTTTGATGTTCCACTAAACACTGGCTGTTTATTTTCTTATCTAAAAAATCTAATATATAATAGAATTCAAAGTAAACTTTGTTACAAATTCATTTTATCTTGGTGGAATTATTTATTCAGTTTGAAACGTTTTAAAATTAGCTATAAACGTAAAGTTGCTTACAAACACAACAGAAGACTCAATTCTTCAATTTCTGTATTGTTCATTGATATTCCACTAATTAAGAAATCTAATATATAATAGAATTCAAAGTAAACTTTCTTACAAATACATTCTATCTTCGTGGAATTAAAACTACAATCCATGTGACGAATATTGGGTGTTATAAACCAAATGCATGCGTACAATTTAATCGTTAATTCTTGTTGCACGAGAAGTAAAGAAGACGTGTTCTACTCGTCATATTTCAGAAGACGCTTTTCTCTTCGTCAAGAGACCAACAAATACGATGGAACAATGTGAAGATAAAAAAAAAATGTGTGTCCGATGTTTCCGGTGTGCAAGGAAGAAGTTAGGAAGAGAAGAAGAGAGAAGCTTCGTCACGGAGGCCTCACAAGCAACGATACGTGGGTAAACTCGGAGAAGACGTATTGCACGTGAGTAGAGGACGACAGGCAGAATGTTGGTTGAGTGACGTATGATACGAGGATGAAGTTACGCCGTGGCGAACGACGTGTCGCCGATTTATCGAGTTAAGTCGTCCCAAGGCTTATCGGCTTTCGTGTTCCCGGCCACTTGTTTTTCGCCATCCGTCGAATATTTGTGACAATTCACGCTGTCTGCCACTGTATTTATAGCATGGTATCGTGTCGCCATGTAGCAGGTAACATTTTTATTTTCATTGCAGTAGGTACGATGATGGAAAAGCGTGCAGGGTGATTTATGGAAGGTAGTCAGTGTTAATTAGAAGGTTAATGGAGATCATCCGATAAAAGAGTTTAAGTTGATGATGGATATCGATTGCTGGAAATTACTTCACCTGAATTTAACATCGTTTCGGCAATTCTTTTCTATTTTTCATTCACCAGGCTACGCGAAACCATTAGAACGTTATTTTCCCTGTCACTTTAACCTTTATCTATACATTTTTCTTTCTAGTAGTCCATTTTTCCAATTTTTATACTTCAATCTTGCTTCCATTTTGTGAAACAAAAGAGAGTCCTCGCGTTTCAAGATGTTCAACGTATAACTGGAAGAGTCCAGAGATCAAGCAAACAAATATAATAAATAGCAAATGAACAAATATTAAACGAACTCCCGGAATTCTCTTTTATAGTCACAGCATTGAAGCAAGGAAGAAGTTAATCTAAATCGATTGAAAATAAAAATTGCAAATGGAATGTATTGACAGAGATAATAGAGATGATCAGCGAGATAACAATTTCCAGATTTCTATTGAAATTTCCTCTGAAGACAGCTTGCAGTCTCAGCAGAGTTCCATACTTTCCACTTTAATCGAACCTCAAATTCTTCCTCCTGTCCGTGAACTATCGTTTCTGCCAGCCTCGGACCATCAGATGGCCTTGGTCTTTTTGCACGCGCACCACTTGACGACGTGACCGTTTCCATTGGCAGTGTGGGTCCTCTATTTTTTCCCTGCTGGCAGTTTCGACAAAGATACGCCTGTACAGAGCCAGTTTCATCCAAGCCACCCCCTCACATCTCTCTCTCTTTCTCTCTCTCTCTGAAGATGCGTTTTCTCTCCATTCTTCGTTTCCCTCGGCGGACGTCAGGCTCCTCCGGTCGCGGCTTCAGGAGAGCAGAGAGACGATCAATACGTCGCTCCAGAACGGAGAAGGAACGGAGCAGGCTAACGTTATTGGGAGACTTTGTTGCTGAGGGTGGGGGGTGGCGACACGAGGGTGGAGAGGGTAGGTCGAGGGAAAACGGAGCTTTTCCAGGCGATTCCTCCGAGAAGAGGAGAGCACAGGCCTGGCTCCGAGCAGATATGCCCGGCTATGAGCGCGAAAAGATGATGAGACGAAGGGTGGCCCCTGCCTTTTACCCTCTCCCTTTCGCCTGTGATCCGGTTGACAGGGATTCGAAGCCGAGGCTGCACGATTTCCACCGAGCTGAAACGACCTCAGGGCTGTATCCACTGGTGATTATGCTCTGCACGAGTGTTAACTGGATACAACTTTCGAGAAATTCTCTTGCGTCGCTTTTCCATGCTTTCCACTTGTTACAACCTTTTTCTTACTCCTGCTTCCTCTCTTTCCGTATTTGTTAACTGTAATTGACATAAGAATTAGGACAAATACGATACAGTTTTATATAAATATTTCTACTACATACTACATTCATCTTGTACGATTTTTCTATAATTATTTTACTAATTGTGAGATTTAGCTTGAGGGAATTGAAAAAAGGAATGAATTTTGGATATAAAGAGCATAGATTGTAACATGGTGTATGAAACGTTCGATTTTGCTGTACCAATTTAGTCAATCTTCCTATTAAATGTATAAATATTTTTATCTTTGTATCACTTTAATGTTGAAGATCTTCTGTTTCCTGTGTGATATTCATTTTTTAAATATTTACATGAACGAATTTTCAAGATTCATGGAAATATGAATCAGTATAAATGGGACATTCCATACACAACTTAATGTATCTAAATATTGCAAGGGGAAATGGAATAATGGAGCAAAATTTGCGAATAAAGGACAAGCACTCGGTTCGGAGAAACTCAATCGTTTAGCAATGTCGATGACATACGAGTGTAGCCCGATGTCAATTTGTCATGTAAACGATAAAATTGTTCGGCGTCCCTTTCTCTTAATACAGAGCCACATAAACTTCCTTCACGCTCACGCCACACGTATACAATGCATGAATTTCTGCGCGAGAATTTCATAAGAGAAATTCTGTACACGTAATCGTTACTCGATACCAGGTGACTCTTAATTACATATCCATACAACATTCAATTTTCATTATCCTAAAATTTAACGCTCAATACAACCTTTGATCTTGTTCTATACAATTGTAAACCTAAAACCTATACTTTCATCAGATATCTAAATTTACATTCTCTTTATAAAATAAAATTGACTACCATATGGTTGTGAAACCATCGCTCATTTGAATTGTACACAGAATAAATTATAACTGTACGATAATAAGATGCTACGTTTTTCTTCAAATATCTGAGGCTACCCTCTTCATAAAATTGCATTTTTCTCATACACATTCCCCGTGAACGATTCACAATAAAATACCTAAACTTGTCCTCTCTTCAAACATCCAAACCTATGTACACGCTGTTCATAAAACAGAATTCTCCGTTTCTAGTTCTTAAGACATCATCTATTTTAATTTCATCTCTCGTACTACGCCAAATGAAACTTATAAACTAACATTACCCATTACATTTCAGGTCTCATTTGTCCCTTTTACTCTCAACAATCGAGCCATCATCTCCCCAAGCCAATTACCCCCATCCACAAATTATCCCACCCCATTTTTCCAACAGCCATCCACCCTCTAGCAAACGTTTCCACTCGCACGGTAACATCCGCGTCACAGGGGAAAAAACGTTGGGCGCGCGTCGAATAATGCGATATCAATACTGATTTCGGGGGTTTTGCCTGTGGCACCTGGCTTGTTGGCCACGGCCCTGTGCGGTGGCATCCCCCTCGTCGCGAGTGGGGCGAGGGTGCGCGCGGTCCAATCATCGCAGAATCCGGGGGATGCCCCTGGCTTCGGCCGGGCAACCGTGGGAGAGACGCCCCGCGACTCGAGGATTCGCGCTTGTCGCCGAATGCCTTCTCCGCTCGGGGCCAAAAAGGACAGTCGGCCGCTGCGTTTCGTTTCGAAGGGCGTTGGCCCTTCCGCGCTTCCACTCGCGCGCTCCTTACACGCTGGAAAACGCGCGAATCGCGCCGCTGTTGTGAACCAGGCTGCAAATAGTGCATAGCAGTGAGACGAGTCGTGCACGCGCACGCAAACACCTACGGGTCCAGGATGCATGTGCACGCGTGACGCTAAACAGGGATGTGAGTTGAGGAATGATTTTTACAAGATTTTCATTCTTCCGTCAAGTCTAAGCGGACTGTCTTACCTAACTATTTCACTAATTCTGTGCAAATTCACTTTGTGTTTCATATTATGTTGGGGATGAACGGGTGTACGTTGGTTTTGTACTTCTGAGCTTTACGATTTCCACGATTCTGTTTTCCTGCATGATATTTAGTATGTGAATTTTGGTGGGAAATAGTAGAGAGTCTGGCGTGCACGTGCATGGGTCTGTTAACGATTTACTCACGTTTGCTACAACGATCGTGTTGTCCGTTTTCATGGTTTCACTTTTCTAATAGCATTCCCAGCATGTCGATACTTTGACCTCGATTCTGTGAACGTGAAGGCGCGCACGCCTGCCTGTCTTATTTTTACTCGTTGGAATTTCGTGAAATCTAATCTTCTTAGGTCTTTGGCTTATGCACTTTAATCGGTCGTTGAACAGCTGCGTTGCACGCGAGATGTTTGCTCCGCCTGTTGCTCGCGCGAACGATCACAAGCATGTAATGTTTTGTGTCCTCTTATTTTCCAATGATCAGTTATTCTGTAAATGCTTTGCCTGTTAATAAAAGTTCTATTCTCTTCTCTAATATTGTTATCATATGAGAATCGAAGTACCTGATTCGTGTCCTGCCACCTCTCTTTTTCTTCCACTCTGATTCCACGCATTCAATTCCGATCTCCTGTTAATTTTCTATCTTTCACGTCACTGGAAATTAATGGAAGAGGAAACACTATTATTGGACCTCTATTTGTCGATCAACTTTTGTACCATTATGTTAGCAACTAAGTGATTGCGGCTTTTGTCAATACCATCTAATGACAAAATCCGCAATTACTTGGTTTCTAACCTAATATTACACTATGCTACGATCACCTGTGTTTGCAGGTTGATTCGTTCAACGATAGCGTAGCCCGATAGAATTCATCAAACGAAGCGTTAAAAATCGACAATTTGAACCGTGGACAAGACAGTATCATACGTACAATACATCGACTTCCTTCTGTCGTATTCCGGATATGCATGCGATGTCACGTCCGATTTTAGTGAAGGTTTTCCGGCGTCACGTACGGTTCGGTAGCTGGGACGAAATTTCTAATCCCTGCCGACTTTATATAGTCATGCTCATACGGTTATTCATATGTAGCTACGTGTCGTTGCACGCTTGATCACTTTGCAATCGGTATCATGCAATTAATTCGCGATTACTATCGCTTAGTTATTGCAACCATTGCCCGATTCGTATTCAATCTCGAGGATAACTCTTCCTGTGACACTGAATGGTAATTTAATGACTGGACACGATGTACAATTTTCAGAGTGTAATTTAACGATGGGCAACGCCGTGTTTGCTATCGATTACCGCGATTCATGGAAATGAGCCTTCTAACCTAAACCTAACCCTATCCCCTTCTCTTTCGTGGTTTCGACGTATGTGTAAAAACTGGGCTTCTGTGTTACAGATCTCGCTACCTAGAGGAGACAATGGCCGAAAAGAGTGGGGGCATAAGATAGGCACATTCGTGATCTACCCTGTAGATCCGGGCTTTTGTAGAATTGTAAATATCAGAAGCTCGTCTCTACAGGTATCTTACGGATGACATGCCACGCGACTTTTAGATTACACTGCATGGTACCATACGTTCGGGCAAATCTGGCGCTTGGGCTTTTTGAACAATCCGACGAGAAGATATCGTAGTTTTAGAAACGAGTCATCAGCTACTTGCAAACAATGTATAGTACACTCGAACGAAGGATTAAACGATATAGCTTATTCGATGTACAGTACAGTTCTAGATCCTAAATGTAACCAACTGTCAGGCAAAATATATTGCTATATGTAGGCTTAAAATGCGTAATCGTTTGTAGATATTAGGTTTAGATAGGATACATATATTCTGTAATATAATTTATTAATTAGATATATATTTATATACTTATGAATTAATATACATTGAATATGTAAATGTAATGTATGAAAAATAAATGTATCGTCCGAAATATTGAGAAGGTCTGTCCTAATTACTTTATTTACCCGTCTCTAAATAACGAGATAAATAAATAGTGTTTAAAGCAATAGTTAATTTTTTAGTGGTAATTAATTTCAATTAAAAATTATATTTTTTTCTAGTTTGATGGAAATGAATAATGTTGAAATTATTTGCTGTTTCTGCAGAGTACGCTAGTACAATTTTTGCATCCCTACCGCAAATTTGTGAAACTATTTCTACGCTTTCCTCCTATGGTGTGACAGAAATCTGTAAATTTCTAAAAAATTACAGATCTCGACATTACCGGTAGAAGGAACTATACAGAAATTCTTAAATATGGACTAAATTAAACTACGCCTGAGAATGTAAATTTGATAACACGATATAAATTCCTATAAATCGTATAAATTTCATAAAAATGAACAAAGCAAAATGTCTAAATAAACAAACAAACATCAAATAAAGTGTGAAACCATCAGATGGCAGCACAGTTTAAAATTGAGCCACCCCTACGATGAAGATCATACTAAAAAGAAAAGCTTACCAACTTTTACAACCTTAAAACTACATCAATATATATCCTATAATATAGGAGTTATATGCTTAAAAACACGAAAATTTCCTTCTTTAGCCATCCATTCAACGAAATCGACGTATCGCTATCCAAAACGAGCTCACAAATTTATACATCTAACAATCATCGCGATACTTCTAGTCATTAAAAGCGTTTCTTTAAAAATTCTTACCAGGGTTTTTGATTCCAAAATTAGCTGACCTACTTTCCACCATGTCGTCATTATTCTCGGTACGCCTTATCGCGATTCAAAGCATCTGTGTCCATCGTTTCCACAGCGACTCCTTGTCGTCATCGACGACGTGGAAGGGCGTCAGCAATCGCGTTCACGGTCGTCCTGAAAAAAATACGAAACATGTTCACGAAAAGGCGAACGATAAGCGGATCGGAGCACATGAAAGCCGGCCCAGGATTCGATGGTACGATAGCATGGTGGTACCCGGGGCGACGGGGTATTATATTATTGATCGTCCCTCGAGCTCTGTCCCCATCAGCTGTCGTGATCCCTGGCGTTCTCCTGGTACTACCGGGTTGCACGTTAACCTTTGTACTCACGGCGGAAAAAAACGTTTACAGGCTGGATATCTACTACGACCGAGTCAGCCGGATCTTGCTCTTTTTTGTGGTTCGACGGCCAGCCGCTACGACGCGCATTTGCAACTAACAATAAATGTACCATTCTCTCTTACACCTTCCATTCGTAATATCGTGTATCGTTCGATCTGTTTGGTTGATCGTGTACCAGCTGTAATATTGGAATGTTCTTCTAGATATCGGGTGACGCAAGAATCGTAGTTATATCGTTCAAAAATGAAAGTGTGATAATAGAACTGGTTCTGTTTAACCTTACGCGTGAGATTTAAATACCTTTCGTAACTGATAGAAATGAATTTCTAAAAGATCGTTCTTCGAACGCTACTGTAACAAGGAGGCTGCTACGTTTCCCATTAATATGAATAAACCAAGAAAAACTAATGCAAAATCAAATAAGATTAAACCGATTTTTGGAACGTGCTATGCATTCATAGTTAACCTATATTCGTAATGATAAACTTTTGCACTTTTGAATATATAATCCAGATCTCTCTCTCTCTCTCTCTCTCTATCTCTCTCTCTCAAGAGATATCTCTCTCTGTATCTCAAGAGATACAAATTAAATATCGGTGTTCTGCCTCGTTATTGCTGCAAACTACAGTTCCAAATACGCGTGAAAGTGAATAGACAGTATAGTAGCACAAACTTTTAATAAAAGATACTAAACAACTAGCTGCAATTCAAGTCAATTCGACGTCGTCACAAGGTACTCACCTGTTCCAAAGTCAAATTGAAACGTGTCGCCGTCCTACCACGTATTTCCCAAAAGACTATCTCCTCGAACTACATTCACGAATCGTGGAAGCTTTGTAACGTCGCCAGGCATTAATCGCGCGGTAATGACCGACAGATGAAGAAATATCGTTCTCCAATGACGCGCCACTGGGTTAAGGCGAATCCCCGCCATTATGACGTGTCAGCATCCGGGGGTAATCCACGATAACCATTTATTTCAGATCCACGGACCGTGCAGCGAAAGGGTGGCAGTCGGGGGTGGAAGAGCAGCACAAATCTTCCTTTCGTGGACAAGCTGAAGAGTCTCTTCGACCTGCTTCTTCCCAACCAACCTCTTGTCTCCTTCTTCTCCTTCTTCCTCCTCCTTTCTTCCTTCTTCTTCGTTCGTTCTCTTCCGCCTTTGGTCCGCGAACGTAATATCCTGCCCCCAGCCGCTGCCTCGAACCTTCTAACACGAAGAGATTCGTGTCCCCTTCTGCTGAGAATCAGCTAGCTCTCGAGTTTCGTCCGCGCACCCCTTCCAACCTAGTTCTCGTTCCTCAGAGTGTCACTAATGCCGCGAGGATTAATGCTACGCGGCGGGGCTTACGGCCACTATTAATTTCATCGGGAGAACAATATCTTATGTGGCTGGGTATCGGGTGCATGTTTCTAGAGCGCTTCCTGGATACCTGGCACACCTCTTGACGATCTAATGCGCGGTTAGCTGGAAAAGAGATCCTATCCACGTTGCAAGAGACCTGAAATCCATTTTAGGTTATGTTTACCAGAGGAAATTATTAAATTTAGTTCGAAATAGCTACGTACTTGTGAATTGCTTTCTTCTGTTTGGTTTTTATTAACCGGAAATTGATATGTTAAAGAAAGAATTGTTGATTGATATTGTTGACATTTTATCTGGATTTTAATAAACGGAATTTACTGAGGAATTTTGTTCTTTTTCTTATATTACATCCCTTTTGCATATTTACTGCTGAAAGAATTTTTATTATTTATATATGTTTAACAAATAATTCTCGTTTAAGACCACAAGCGTTATAAGTGTTTCTTCCAAATTTTGTATATATTTTTTTTTGTGTGTGTAATAAAATACTTAAGAAACCGATTCTGAAACGTAGATTTTTTAAAGTAGTAATGTATTAAAAGAAAAATACACCGAGTTGACGGATCAATGTAAAATTATGTAAACAATGGATATAACCTTCTGGAAATACCTACGACAAGGAAAATTGTTCCCCAGCGTGCGATAGCGTTTGAATCGTTGCAAGAGGAACGTATCAATGCATCGGAATCGCGTTTCTCTTCCTTCGACGTTTCGAGAGCATCATAGTTACCGGTAAGCGTGACACAAAGGTTATTACGCTGGCACGATAACATCCGGGCATAGCTGACGTGTTTGACTGACGAGCTCTCAGACGTCGCTGCAGGAGCACGCCATTTGCGGACGGCCGGCTGATACTTATCTGCAGGTAATTAGAACTTGGACCTGGAATCACGCATACAGTTTCCGCCGTTGTTCCAGGACTGCTTTCGCACAGTAACACTGACAATGATAATTATACACTTCCCCTGTACTTTGACATGGTTGACGTGTAGTTTATAGAAGCTTCGATTCTGTGTATCTTCAAGGGAAGTTTTTTCGATTCGTATAGAAGTTTATATTGGTTAAGTATGTCGACTTTCGGTATTACGCTGCGAATGTCAACAAGATGGACAGCGTAAGTAACGCTGATACAACTGAAATGAAGGTTACGTACCCGGTCTATACAGTTAAGGCACAAAATTTGAATTTAAATTTATATTCAAATGTAATGTAAATTTGAATTTACATTTAAAATTAACACTAGGTGCTTTTCAGATTTTGAGATTATGTTGTTTTTGGTAATTACTAAGAGTATACAAGTGCTCTGTTGACAAACTTGATGATCACCGATGTTGACATGGATCAAGATTGTATTTACGTATTTATGTTTATCGTATTATTTTAATTGGAACTAGATATATATAAATAATTAAATATAATGCTAAATTTCCATCTTGACACTTTCTAGAAACATCGACTAAAGTCATTACACAGACTGGAAGCGAAAAGTAGGAAACTGTCGAGGAAAAGGCAGCCGGACACCTTTCTCGTTAATAGAGAACGGCGGAACTCTTTCTATCAACTTTCTAGTCCCGTCACGGCAATTAGCAAAGTACTTGCACGTGCGGATAAATCCTCTCGTGGCAGAAGCGCGACTTATTTATGACCATCCGCATCCTAAGACCCGACTAAAGGGTTAAAAGCGATACAATGCCACGGTCGACATTGTTTTGATGCGGTCAGAACTGACGAAGATCGGTGAAAAGATGCATAAACCCGCACGTCGTGTGCCAGCTTTCCAAAACGGATGCTTCGGCGTGAAACCCGCTAGTCTTTCCATCCGCTGACATTTTCTCTTTGTACGAAAATTGCCAATAGAAAGGTTTGTCTGTTCGACCGCAAGAATTCTTGGAACTTGGGTAAAATTTTGTAATTTGATGCAAAGATCGATATTTGTCGAGTTTCTTCGCTATCGATAATATTAGCTTTTCATTTCTCTTCTCTTTCCAAAAATCTTCTTCTTTTAATATGAAATATGTTAATTCGAGATGCAGTTTAAATTACACAGAATTTTAGTTTCATATTCTGGTTATTGATACATATATTCAGGATTTTTCTGTGTGATAATTTCATAATTGACAATACTGGTGCTCTAAGCTTTTGGCCAATACACATATATTGAATTACAGAGAATTCTAGTTTCTTATTGTGGTTATTGATATATGTATATCAATAAATAATAATAATTGATATATATATATATCAATAAGTACATAATATATCATATCACATAACCATATAATTGATAATATTAGCTTTTTATTTCTGTTCTCTTTCCAAAATCTTCTTCTTTTGATATGAAATATGATAATTCAAGATGCAGTTTGAATTACATAAAATTTTAGTTTCATATTGTGATTATTGATACATATATCCAGGATTCTTCTGTGTGATAATTTCACAATTGACAATATTGGTACTCTAAGCTTTTGGCCAATATACATATATTGAATTACAGAGAATGTTAGTTTCTTATTGTGGTTACTGATATATGTACATCAATAAATAATAATAATTGATACATATATATCAATAATCACATAATATATAATATCCCATAACCATATAATCAGTACTATTAGCTTTTCATTTCTGTTATTTTTCCAAAACTCTTCTTTTGATATGAAATATGTTAATTCAAGATGTAGTTTGAATTACATATATATATCAATAATATTAGCTTTTCATTTCTGTTCTCTTTCCAAGAATCTTCTTTTGATATGAAATATGTTAATTCAAGATGTATTATAATTTGAATACATTACATGATTTACATATATATGTAATTCAAACTACATTTTGAATTAACATATTTCATATGAAAAGAAGATTTTTGGGAAGAGTATAGAAATGAAAAGCTAATATTACCGATTATGTGGTTATTGATTATGTAATATCAATATATCAATAAAATTCTCTGTAATTCAATATATATATGTATATTAGCCAAAATCTTAGGGCTCCAATATTATGAATTATGGAATTATCAGACAGAAAAATCCTGAAAGTACAATATGTACTTACTACCGCGTCGCCAGGAAACCAAAGCTTCCTATCAAAGGGTAAACGCTGTTAGACCGGTATTTTTGCAACGATACTCCAGACCCAGGTTCTCAAGAGGAACGATAACGGTAATCGTAGCGTTGGTTGGCGGCCTCGCAGAGGAAGGCAGCCACGGTGTTCATGATCAGAAGAGCGGCAGTATCCTGGTCCTCCCTTTAGTAGTCTCATACCACTAGCGTATACCCTTACTATGGTACCCCTGGCGGCGCGGTGCTAGCCATGACACGAGAATGTGATTAATGATCGCAACAGAGAGCCATGCACCGTACACCGCTCTCCTCTCTTTTCCCTCTTCTCCCCCGCCGTAAACTCGCCGGGTTCTCCTTCTCTATCGTCGGCTCCTCTCTTCCCTGGACGGCCACCACGTTTTCTCTTCCCTCTGGTATCGTTCTCTCTGTCAGCAACCCCTGCTGTTGCCGCTGACGTTGCTGCCGCGGTTGCTGCTGCCGCAACTGCCCTCTCTCTTTCTTTCTCTCTTATTCTCTACTTGCAATCTGACTGCCTGCCAACTTTCTTCCATAGTTCTTCATCCTCGTTCTCCCTTCTCGTGGCCACCGCTGATTATCCATCGACTATTTCCAACGCTGCCTCCAGCTGGTTTTCGCCGTTTTTCCTCGAGATTCTCTTGTTCGACGCACCAACGTTGGCCTCGGTTCGACAGAAGATGAGCATTCTCAAGGGAAGAACAAAGAGAAGGCAAGTTTTAAATAATTCTACGACGAACTCAGTCTAACAGATACTGTACAGCTTCTTGGATTTGTTAAAATAGATCAGACTCGAGTTTAGAAGTTATTAACTCTGTTTCAGAAACCTTGCAACAGTATGTTTGTTTCAAGTAATTGCGCAAGTATGTGTATAGTAAGGTGCTTGTACGGTTTTTTCTAAGGGCTGAATTATATTATAAAGGTTTGTTTAAGAGTTAGAGCTCGATCGCCTAACGTTCAATTTCTTGTTTATTATTATTTTGCTTAATCGAACGTATTTGATTTTATTTACTTTTTCTTCTTCTTCTTTATAGAGTGGAGAGTTTCGTGTCCTGCGCGTTAAATGAACCTGTCCAAGGCAGGAGTCGTAAGAAATGAAGAAGTCACGGGAACAGAGGAAGAAATCAGTCAGTGCCTGCTCCAAGCACGATGACTTTGACTCTATCGACTCGTCTTCCGCTTATCTAAATCACTTATCGATATCTTGCCCTGATCCTGCTTTTCTTCAATATCCGATCGCCGTCGATCTTAATAATTGCACTTCTTCGTTTCGATTTCAACGATCCGTAAGTTTCACTCGAATCTACCAATTAAATAAACAACCTTTGTCACGAAATATGGACTCAAAAAGCTAAACAGTTCGGAATTATTCCACGTAGAATGTCTTTGAAATTCCGTCGCCATTTGATACACTCTGGCAGGAATGGCGCTTTAAAATGGCTTCCAGATAAATATTATCTAGTTATCTACTACTATGCAAACATTTTAATCAACTGTTTTCTCAATAAACGTCCTTATTTTTTAACAAAATACAAAACTCACCAATGTCACTCGCTTTACTCTCTAACTAAAACAAAAATTACATCAAAAGTTCAAACTTGTCACAAATTTATTAATTATTGAAATTCTCCATTTCTAGGTTGTGTATCAAAAAGCATACACGAAGAAGCTGCATTCCAAACTCTACCAAAGTAACTAGACAAAATAAGCCATCTACTGGTTCCACTCGTCAAACTCTCCTCTTCGTCACGTGGAACAGTCGTTGGAAAACTGCAGAACAATAAACCACCCCTTTGATATTCCTCTTATTATCATTTTCGCCGGCCAATATTGTGTCGAAAATAATGCTCTAGTAGGATTGAACGATGATTCGACAGTGCGGCCATCGTTCGACGACGGTGACGAAGTCAGCAAGAGTGGAAAAGACTGGCAGGCGGAACGAAGACAGAGGCAGCGGGTACTCCCCGCGGAAATCAACGGGGCTGCGAGCGTTTCGTTGAAATTTCCGGCGTATTGTCGGCGTTCGGCGGCCGTGAATGATCCGGAGCCACCATCAACCCCTTTGTGAAGGAAGGGAGACGGCGAGGCGGGAACGAGGGCGAACCTGATGGGATATGGGGATGGCGACGCGTCCCTGGCGACGCCGCGACGCTGACAGCGTTCGGTCCCGGCGCCCTCTTCTCCCCGACTCTATTTCCGCGTTTTCTTTGACACACCCCGGATTAAATGCTTCAGCTGTTTCTACAAACTTGCGATCCGCAATATTCGCGTGATCGAATGGCGTTGGCCGAGTGCGATGGTTGTTACCGAGGGACAAAATGGTTGATGGAACGAACGAAATTGACGTTGCTTGAAAGAATGAGATTGCGAATGGTTGAATATTATGGATGCAAGAATGTACAGGACGTGGATAACAGTATTTAATGTACGAAAAGAATTTACAATATGAAATGTAAAATTTAATGAATGAAGCAAATCTCCACTTTGAATCTATTTTACAATAATATGAATCTGTATAAACATCGGCTGTGTAAAAGTAACAAATTTGGAGTACGAGGAGGAATCGTATTTTTTGAAATTATAATTATTAGAAAATGTGTTTTACGTTCTGGATAGATTTGGACGTTTCGTGAGAGTAATTACTATAACTTTTATCTATGAATGAAACAATTCTTCTTTCACAAGTGATAAATATTAATGTCTGAAGTAAGAATTATTTTTCTTAATCGAAAACAATTATTTTCTTAATCACAATTATAAAAGTGAGATAACACGTTGCACGTTTCAAATTCATAGATAATACGTTTCATGAAATAATCTTACAATATGAAACGGACTTGCAGCTATAATTACTTTCCTTAATCGGTTCATATTGTATAATAGAATTACAGTTATATACTTAATACATCTTATGTCATAAGATTGCACTACGAAATGTGTGTAGTCAGGAATCACTGTCTATAACATGGTTGTCTTATTAGCAATATTACGTTAAAAGTAATGCACGTACGAGCTGTTAGAAGATGATAATTAACTGATGCTACAGATTATCACAATCCTGTTACGATTGATGGAGTAGAAGGTGCTAATGATTATTTAAAGATGATGGTAATTAGGTAAATTAAAGCGCTACCCAGAGTTCTGAATAACAGTATGTTACGCAAATATAACGTGCAGCATGCGCCTGTACGTGATACTGTAATTTAAGTAGTATCTAACTTAATCGTTGCTACATAATTTGTTTCATATTTGTCTTCTTAACATGCCTGCTGATTTCTGAGTAGATTGCCGTTCTGTGGATAGTCATTTCCTGCAAACTTCGTATAAATAGAAAGCACGAGGTTGCACGATCATGGTAAGACCACGAATTCTGCTAATCATCGCGCGAAGAAAAGCAAACAACCTTTTTCCAAAAGCAACTTCATGGTTTCCCAAATATTATTCGAAGATATTATTCTAGGACCAGTTTGTTTATTAATAAAGCTACTTTTTTAATTGTTTATGTCGCTTTTATAGCAATGAACACGTCTGTGTTTACCACATTAAATAAAAAAGAATTGAAGAAATTTCTTCTGGAAACAACTTCATGGTTTTCCAAATATTATTCGAAGATATTATTCTAGGACTAGTTTATTTGTTAATAAAGCTACTTTTTCAATTGTTTATGTCGCTTTTATAGCAATAAACACGGCTGTGTTTACCACATGAAATAAAAAAGAATTGAAGAAATTTCTTCTGGAAACAACTTCATGGTTTTCCAAATATTATTCGAAGATATTATTCTAGGACCAGTTTGTTTATTAATAAAGCTACTTTTTTAATTGTTTATGTCGCTTTTATAGCAATGAACACATCTCAGTTTACCACATTAAATAAAAAAGAATTGAAGAAATTTCTTCTGGAAACAACTTCATGGTTTTCCAAATATTATTCGAAGATATTATTCTAGGACCAGTTTGTTTATTAATAAAGCTACTTTTTCAATTGTTTATGTCGCTTTTATAGCAATGAACACATCTCAGTTTACCACATTAAATAAAAAAGAATTGAAGAAATTTCTTCTGGAAACAACTTCATGGTTTTCCAAATATTATTCGAAAATATTATTCTAGGACAAGTTTGTTTATTAATAAAGCTACTTTTTCAATTGTTTATGTCGCTTGTATAACAATGAACACGTCTGTGTTTACCACATTAAATAAAAAAGAATTGAAGAAATTTCTTCTGGAGACAACTTCATGGCTTTCGAAATATTATTATTCAAAGAACATAACCTAGAAATAGCTGCTTTTTTTATCAAAGGTATTTCCTCGATTCTTTGCGATATTACAATAATAATAATAAATGCATACGTTTCAAATAAAATAACAAATGTTTCAAATTCAAAAATACAAATGTTTCAGATAATCGAAGAAGAAGAAAAACGAAGAATATTTTCCTACCGTCGATTGTTTGATTTTTCAAGCATTATTCCAAGGATATATTTCGAAGGCAATTTCTTTAATAGGATATGCTGGTTCTTCGATTGTTCGCGATACTGTTATGGCAATAGACGCGTCCATGTTGGCGATATTAACATCGCCGTCAGCGATGGCTGGCTGCCTTTTGTCCAGAGGGATGAAATACTTGATGATATTAAACATGAATAATGTAACGGTTCGGGGGCGAGCAATAGCGGCTGCGATAAGGCCTTCTGGAATACAACATACGCAAAATCACAATGTAACAGCTGTCAGACTTGTACCAGGTCTGCGTCTGAATAAAAAAAAATTAAAGCTGTTGCCATATGTACGTACATTTTTGAACACATTTTTTTTCTTTTTTTTTTACATTATGATAATTTTTTACAGAATGAAGAGATAATAGCGACTGACTGGATTGGAGAGGCAATCGAATCAATGAATTAAGATATCAAGCACTTGGAAGGAAAATTGCGAAAGAATTTGCTCGTTTGGCAGTGGAAACTAGTTTTATTGGCAGAAATCGCGTTGCGGGGGTAAATTGGTGGAAACAAGAGGGCAAAGAGGGAGGAGGGAAAAAATCAGTGCCGGATGACTCGTCGGTTTTCGAGCGAACCGGAATGACTAAGTGTGAATTCAATTAAGGGTTTGTTTTAAGCATCTATCAGAGCTTGTTTACGGGCCAGCTCATTATTTACATAACACGATGAAATTGACAATTTCGACTTGGCTAATTAACGCTGCCGATCGAAGAAATTTGTACGATTTCAAGTTCCTTCCCCCTTCGTCAAACTATCTACACACCTGGTGTAAGATTTTTTCAAAAAAGATTCATTCCATATTATTGTAATGTGTACTGAATTTTTCAGATGAATCAAAAAAGAAGAAAAAGGAAATTGAGGAGCCAGAGGAACCAAAGAAGAGAAATTATTCTTACTATGTATCCTTCAGAAACTTGTTTCAAGTTCCTTCCCCTTTAGTCAAACTATCTACACACCCAGTACAAGATTTTTTCAAAACAAATTCATCTCATATTATTTTAATGTTTACTGAATTTTTACTGAATTTTCTACACACCTGGTATAACATTTTTTCAAAACAAATTCATCTCATATTATTGTAATGTGTACTGAATTTTTCAGAAGAATAAAAAAAGAAGAAGAAGGAAATTGAGGAGCCAGAAGAACCAAAGAAGAGGAATTACAAGCTTCTTTTCTTCTCTTACTACGTATCCTTCAGAAATTTGTTTCAAGTTCCTTCTCCTTTAGTCAAACTATCTACACACCTGGTATAACATTTCTTCAAAACAAATTCATCTCATATTATTCTAATGTTTATTGAATTTTTCAGAAGAATCAAAAAGAAGAAACAGGAAATTGAGGAGCCAAAGGAACCAAGGAAGAGGAATTACAAACTTCTTCTCTTCTCTTACTACGTATCCTTTATTTGTATCTTTAGAACTAACAATAATATAATGTTAATATTGTCCTTTGTGGAGAAATCAAAATACCAATTCTAATTTTTACCATTTAATTTATTCTTTTCCATCAAACAAACGCATTCAACCGGGAACTTAAATTTTCTAGATGTTCTGCCTGAAGAAGAGGAAATATCCTCTTACCCTCTATGAGCAGCAGCCATGAAAATCGAAACGTGGCCAGCGGAAAACAGCAGGGTGTTAATAATGGTCCAGGAATTCGGCTATGGACCAATGTCAAAGGATCTTTCCTCGTCCAATCCCGGTCGACGAGTACGGCAGGATGTTGTTGTAGGCTGGACCAAATAGTCCAGGGCGGACCCTTCTTTTAATTGTATCGAAGGGTCGATCCTGGTGCCTCGGCTCGTGAGAAACGGAATGCGTGCGTCACGGATCCAATTCATTCGTCCGGACCTTTTCCCAAAAATGTTGTCATTAATTTGGAGCACGACACTGTTCAGGGAAAATTGACAAATCGCTGGGAAGACCGCGGTGTCCTTTAAGACACACGAAACTTTCCAAAGTTGTAGAGCGACGAAAAAAGAAGAAAAGAATAGAAATATATTTGTTAGGTGAAAAAAATTGAACCACAGAGAACGTAGATAGTCCGAAGGCATTTTGAAGAGCGATTAGGAGTTTGTTTAAAACGACAGTACACCACGATTAAGACACTTTTTAAGCTGTAACTGTGAAGAATCGTAGCTCGTGTCCACGCTTTGTGCTCGAGAGGGGCTGTCACAATGGCAGCGATGGAAAAAAGAGAGCAGCTGTGAAGAGGAGCTTGAAATGGCGATTCTATGCGCGTCACGGGTCGCTCCGCTATGATCCTCCCTGCCCCTATGTCCGATTTCCCTCTTTACCATCGTCGGATTATGTTTTTGTCGGACGAGCGATGGGTTTAATTTCAAGTCGTCACGGCGTATTAAGCGATAAAGGAATGGCGCTGGATGCTCTGGATAACAGCCGATAACGTGTCAGAATTGCAAAACACGCGGCAGGAACGAATCATACCTTGTGCATGGAACTCGAATGAATGTCAAAAACCATATTTTACTAATCGTGTATCAAATTCCTGCTCGTTTTACTAAAAATTGCAAATATGGTTCGCAGATTTTTACTCAAAAATTTGGGGAAGATACCATATCTGGTATCTCATAAGAAGATTGCCAATCTTGTTGCATGTTTATACTTTTATGAAGTTGAGCTAACCTAGATGAACCTAAGTGGAGCTAACCTAGCTGAACCTAAGTGGAGCTAACCTAGCTGAACCTAAGTGAAGCTAACCTAGCTGAACCTAAGAGGAGCTAACCTAGCTGAACCTAAGTGGAGCTAACCTAGCTGAACCTAAGTGGAGCTAACCTAGCTGAACCTAAATGGAGCTTTGTTTCATCTTCTAAATACTGTAACAAGAGAAAGTGATTTTCAAAATTCTAATATTGAA